ATATATATAAAATCTTATTTTTTCCTATAAAAATTAAAATAATTAATTATAAAGTAGAGATTAAAATTCATTTTAAAACATACTTTTATACGAAATATTATCTTTTGTCAATGATTTAATGTATTTAATTGAAATATACACAGCAATAATCATGTTGCAGACAGAGTGAGAAATAAGTAAACAACGATTCAAATCGGTGTGCATGCTCGCCTGTGCGGCACATAAATTCTCGTGTGTGGCAACAATTTGAGTAGTGCGCAGCCGCGCAGCTTAGAGAGAACATTGGTGACGAGATGTGACTTTAGAGATCAAAATAAAGAAAATTAAATTTATTAATACAATTCTAATTTTATTTTGTTTAGTCACACATAAAATATTATCAAGTGCATGTATTAAGGCAAACAACCATGTTTGCCTTAATATGTGATGAATGGAAAACGAAACCAAAACATTACAATGTGTATGAGCGGAAAAAGTTTATTTTTAATGATTCAGAGTGTGTTAATATTCATTAAAAATAACAATTTAACTAATATGAAATAACTACATTTATAATCATTGCTAACTGACCTGTATTTCATTAATGATTTCATAAATAACTAGGAACTGTTTTCTGCGGACAAATGAGGTGCAACATGATTTTAATTCGTGGACGTAGGCTTAAACCAATAAACAAAGGGATGTGTGTCTTAATTTATGATAGACTGCAGACCTACAATGGCAGAATGAACTATACACAGTTTACAGAAATTATTGCAAAAACACTTTGGGTTTTAGACCAAATAATCACCAGTACAATGCATGTGATAAGAATTAGGGTTTCTCATTTCCCGTTCCTTTGCTTGTCCTGGGATTTTGGGAAAAAGTGAATTGTTTCCCGGAATCCCGGGATAAAATTAATTACTTTTAAGATATAAAAAATATTTTGAAATTGAATGATATAATTATTTTTCATTTTTAAAAGTGATTTAATATGTTCTGCAACCTCCAAAATAATAATAATGCTGTTTAAAATATATATATTAAAAATTACCTTTGAACTATGTAGAAATTTTCACAAATAGAAAAAATTTATTAAAGTTTGTTGAAAACTGCTTACAGAAAAAAGTCATTGAATTGAGTTAAAAATTTAAAGAAAAAATGAATTTAGATTAAACTCCTAACTTAAAATGTAATTTTCCTTTTTTAAATAAAACATAATGCAAAATATTGTAAATTTTTATAACAAGATTTAAAAAAGCAAAGATGGTCGATACTCCGATCACTTAATCTGGTTCTTATTTTAGTCATGAAAAGTCCTGATACTGAGAATGCCCTTTTCGATTCAATTGATGTGGGTGAATCATGTTTAATGCATTTAAGAGAAGACAGATGTTATGTGTTTTTTCACCTGTAGTCTTGAAAATGTTTTTTTTTGTTTTTGAGATGCATTGCAGTACTTTTTTGCAGTCTAGTATTCTCGATTTGTCTACCTCGACTGTTGTAATAGCGGCATCAAGCTTATAGCCTGATAATTCAGCAGTTCTTTTGGCTTTAATAATCAAGTTTATGAAGAAAAACTTCATACTTGCAGACTTTGTACTCATTTGTGCAAATTGGACAAGGATACAATCTAGCATAATGCAGTTATTTAAGGTACTGGGCATGGTTAAAAATTAAGACAGCATAAGTACAATTATTCCAGATATTACAGGTTCTGACAAGTCAGGAATTTTCAGTCCTGACACAAAAGGTTACATATTGATGATTGACAATCTGTTAGATGCCATAACAAGCAAAAATTTAAACTAATAATCAGGCATAAAATTAATAAACATAAATGTATTCTTACAGTTTGTGTTAATTATACTTTGTTTGCAAAATTCCCTTAACCTTAACACAAAATAAGAAAAAAGTGAACTTTTAAGAAATTTTCAGGATTTCCCAGGTTAAAAAAAACAGCCAGGATCCCATTTCATAAGCTCTAGTAAGAATGAACTCGAGAGAGAAATGAAGACTATATGGGGGACGCGTTGAAGTGTTGCCAAGTTTTCCACGATACAAAAAAATTTTTTGCTCATGCGTATAGGACGACCTAGGTTTTTGAAGCAGTGAAAAATGAATGAAAACCTCATCTTATATGCAAGTAAATATGGTGTTCATGTGATAAAAACCAGCATGCCAGTTTAAAGTGAGGTTATACATCCCTCTCTATAGGGTGTATTAAAAATCAAATGAGTTGTGACATGTAAAAATGAATGAGTTTGTATCCTAAAACTCTGAAACTGTCAGCATTACATAAAAAATTAGTTATATGTTTAATTTTTTCATTTTGTCTTTTTTCTAATGATTTAAAATACTCGTAGAATATCAAAAGTGTTTTATTTTTGTGTGTATTTTATTGTTATTTGATTCAAAAATGCAAAAATAAACATACCAAATTTCAGAAATTTACTGTAAATTATCTCAACTGAAATCAATTAACATACGCTTAGTGTGAAATTTGAGAGGAAGGTGTTATTTTTAAGGTAAGGATAGATTTGTCAGTGCAGTTCACACTGACTGACTACTATTACTACTAATGTCAATAAATTGTTAATTGCTTTATTGTTCTGGAAACAAAAACTTATTTCCTGATTTTTAAGTCAGTCAAATTACAATGTTGTTATTTTATTGTACTGGGAAGAATGTTTTAACATTTAATTAACAAGAAGTTTTTTTTAGATCTGATTAATTTGATTTTTTTAGTTTCAGTTTAACTGGCATGCCGGTGACCCTGGGTTTCCAACATGCTGGTTTCCCCTGATTATATGTGGAATGTTGGTCAATCCACAAAAATATGGTTTCACATATGATTATTTACAATATTATTACTTAGTTTTTTTCTAAGAAGATGCAATGAAAATATTTGAAAGGAACAAACCTTAAGATGTCCAGAAAAACACTGCTGTGTTGCTTATGAATTTAAATGTGTGTGTGATTTGTTTTAATAAATTCTCATAAAATTTAAAATTTTAAAATATAATTTTTGAAATTTGAAGAATTTATTTATATAAATTTTTACTGTTATGCAATTATAAATGAACAAATAATTTTAGAAATTAAGTTTTCATTTTGAATTATATTACATATATTTTTTTTTTATTTTAGAATTTAGATGTTAATCTTGCAGTAAACAATCTTTTAAGCAGAGATGATGAAGAAGGGGAAGATGTAGATGATAGTCAAGATTCTTATATGCCTGGAGGTAGATTTTTTTTATCATTTACATAGTGATATGTTCAAGATGTAATTCATTAATTTCTCTCATTTAAATTTGCATATATAGATGACCTGATATCTTTATTGGATGCTGGAATTCATACAGATCATCCTAGTGTTATTATTGATGCTGATGCTATGTTTTCAGAAGATATGTTTGGTTATTCAGCTTTAAGAAGCAGATCAGGAAGTAGGGGAAGAACAGGTATACTTAGTAAATTTTTATAATATAAAAATGTGTCTATATATATCAATCACACACCAGTTCTTTATATATAAAAGAAAATCAAACCTGAACTGCTTTATTATTTAAGTCTACATTTAGATAAATATTATTTATTCAAAGTGATTGTATAAATTATGAGGGCAGTTTAAGACATTTTCATTGTATGAAAAAGTAAGAACATTCCAACTATGTGACTTTTTTGAGTTTCATATATCACTGGGATATGTACTTGGTTAAACCAAGTACATATCCCAGTATAATAATAATATGTACTTGGTTAAACCAAGTACATATTATTATTATTATTAAATTATTATTGTGTTAGTATTTGAATGAGGATCCTCTTTCTCTTTCAGTAGTAGTAACTTGGAACTCTTTTTGTAGTTATTCATTTTTGTAAATAAATTATTTATCTGAAGAATTTTTAATATTGTCAATGTAAATATATTCTTCAAATACTAATACAATAATAATTCTACTATTCTTGGTTTAACCAAGAATATGTCACTTGGTTTAACCAAGTGACATATCCCAGTGATATTTGAAACTTATGTACAGTTGTTCCTTGATAATCCGACAGGTATGGGACCAAAGGTGTGTCAGATTACCAAAAGTGTCCGGATTACCGAAAATAATTACATATTTCGCATTGTTTTGCTAGCAGTAACTTACAATATTCTCTACTCCAACTGTTCGAACAGAACTGCTCACATAAAACACACAAAAGTTTCCGGATTACCGAAAATAATTACATATTTCGCATTGTTTTGCTAGCAGTAACTTACAATATTCTCTACTCCAACTGTTCGAATAGAACTGCTCACATAAAACACACGAAATGTGTGTCATCGAGTAAGAATTGGATGGGGAGATTCACATCGCACATGCTTCTGTGCAAGCAGACACGTAACGGGGACGGGTACCTTGACGGGAGGTGCGTCGGACTACTGAGCATGTCGGATTAAAAAACGTCGGACTATAGAGGGACAACTGTATTATTGAAAATTAGTAATAGTAACTTTCAAATTTTCTGTGAAGTTACTTTTACAAGGAAATTATATTTAAATTTTTTTATGATTATGCTTGGAACTATAATAAACTAGTAATAATAAAAATGGAAAAATGACAGCCACAAATTATTTTAGTAAAATACATATAATTAATGTGTAATTTAATTTTTGAATAGTAAGGAAAATGTTAAACAGCAATAGGATATGAATTAAAAGTATCTTTACATCAGAGTAACTTTGTAAATTAAATTTTTATTTTAGAAATAAAAAAAATCTTTGCATTTAAAAAGTTTTTTTGTAAAATATCATTATTATGATATATCAGTGACTGCCAATTATTTGTAATCTAATTTTTTAGAAAAATAATAAAAAAATTAATTTCATTCATATTAAATATTAATCAAAATTTTAACTTCTTATATGAATGAATTAGTAATTGAGAATTTATTTTTTTTTTAGGTGATAGAGATAGAGATGCTGACAGAGATAGAGAAAGAGATTCTATGTTTAGATTTCGTGATCGTCATCAGTACACAACTTCCAGAAGATGGTTAGAATCAGCATTAAGAGACAGTGGAGGTACAGATAAAACAGCAGAGGGATTAAGTATGGCAGAAACAAAGAAGAAAGAATCAACAGATTTGAATCCTCTTTGGCTTTCAGATGAACTTGAATTTTGGCCAGACAAAGTTAGTATATTGTAATATTAATTTTTGAAATGAAAAATTCATGATAAAATTGTCCACCTCTGATATATAAGCTATATAATGGGTTATGCATAATTTTCATTTTAGAGTAGAAAGGTGGGGAAACAGTAAGTACAAATACTTGTAGGTACAGTTAAGATTGTGGTCTTTATGATACAATTTTACACATTATATAAGACTATCATTTGAATTTTTTTTTAGTCCAAATGGAGAATGAAAATTTGTGTGAAATATTCAAATCATGAGGTATTTCATCAAATTGAGACATAAGTTAGTTTTCAGATTTAATACATTTCTGTAGAATTATAGTAGAAGATAGCTTAAAATTCCAAGAAATCAATTAACTTAAATGTATATTCTATCAAAAAAATAAATTGAAAGTGATTAGACATTTAGATAAATAATTAATTTACAGTTTAGTTACTGTATTAAGTAAAACTATAAATTTTAAAGATGTTATATTTTCAGAAAACGTAATTTATAAACAGATCTATGTACTTTATATATTTTATATATAATTTAAAGTATCTACTTTAGTTCATTTATTTACTTCAACACTATATTTAAAAAATTAACTGTCTTTTTTATTTTTGACTAAAAATATTGTAAGTCTACAGAAATAGCTATAATCAGTTGTTTTTGATAGTAAAGATAACTACAAGAGAGAATCCTAAAATGTTATAAAATTGAAATTATTCAAGATACTTTGGTAAATATGATCTTGTTTAATAAATGAAGAGATAATGAAGAATTCAAAATTTTAATAGATTTCTGTCAGTATTTTTAACAGAAGGTTTCAGCTAATCTGTATATATAAAAATGAATTTATGTTGGTTTTTTCTTTATACAAATCTTTATTCTTAAACCAATCTGTACCAAAGTTTGTATGAGTATTACTTAGACCCTATAATCAACACTAAGTTATATACTACCTCAGAATATTGATTTAACTTCTGTACATCAATTAATTTCTATCTACATCTGACTTAATGCCATTACATTGAGAAGAGATTTGTTATTTATCCACAACACATGATTTTTAATTATAATTAAATGAGGAATGATCTAAAAATCATGGTAACTTTCAAAAATGAATTAACTTTTTATATTTATTTATTTTTGAAAGAATGTTACTGTAAATAACAATATAAAATTTGGAATTTTGATAGACTAATTATGAAAGATATCACACATATCTCTGTTTGACTTTTTGTGATAAACTTGAAAGCATGTGTCCTTTTAGTTTTCTTTTCTGTGAAAGGGGTCAGTGTTTAGGGTTTCAGTGCACAAATTTCTGTTTGAATGTTTTCCTTTGGCTGCTGGACATTGTGAAATTTGTTAATATACATAAAATTGTTTAGATAGTCCCACACATGAAAAAATTTAATGTTATCTCTTTGCCATATCTTAAAAATGAACAGTAAAAATTTTGTTGTCACTGGTTTAACCAGTTATTGGATTTTTCTTGAACTAATTGCACCTTGTATGAGTAACAGTAACATGTGCAAATCTTTTTGAAGTCCTTGTAAGGATGTTCTGAGGATACCAAATTCATGAGAACCACATCTAGTGGATGTTGTTGCATATTGCTGAATACTTTTCTCAACATGATTACTATTATCCAGGTTTTGCATGGAATGGGGTCTTCCAACTCATGGCAAGTCAACCACTGAGCCAGTTTAGAGGGCAGGTTTTTTACTTGATAACGGTGCATATGTGCTCTTTGTGCATGCATTATGGACCATTTATTTTCAAAATAAAATCCTACAATTTTTGTTTGTTGGGCTGTGCTATATTTGTCCATAACAAATTTCCAAGAGCTGAAGTATCTGAACCTAAAAAAAGTTATCATTGTTATGAAACTTGTTTTGAATTTTTAAATGGTTTTATGACTTTTAGACTACCCTGTATTTTAAATCAAAGTATTTTTGCTAACCAGTATTGGAGAATCTGACATGAACAAGAACATATTGGGTTTAAGTGACACCCTTTATACATAGTTGTCATTTTTCATGACTTTATATTGAGTCACAATCCACAGTTTAAGAAGCCTAGATTTAGTACATGCCTGACATAAGTATACATTGGCAAAGAGTCTACAATGATTTCCCTATTAATTTTTAAAATAATTAAGAGGAGAGACTTTTGTTACCACTTTGTATACAATTAATCAAGAATAATAATGCTATTTAAAATTTTGCTTTACTTACTTCCATTTGATTCTTGTATTTTATGGTTGATGAAGTAAAATAAATAATTTTTGCAGTATTTTATATAATAATAGAGAATGACTAATTCCTCTATTTTATTTTTTAAATAGCTTTCTCAGGGGTTAAAATTTGTACAGTTAGCTGCATTACATTCAGAATTAATCGCTTTAAGTACAGTTGGCCAGATACATCAATGGAAATGGAATGATTCTGAACCATATAGATCTCCTGAGGTAAGCAATTTTGACTATTTTTATTTTGTTAACTATAAGATTTTTATGGTGTAAAAGGAAAATAAATTTTAACCTATATTTGAACAAATTTATAGCTATTAGAGGAAAATGTCTTAAATTATTATTATTATTATTATTATTATTATTATACAGTAGAGCGTTGATTATCTGAAAGAATTCCAGTCGGCAAATTTAAATTTTCGCCAGTGCTGTGACACTGCAATCTTTGGCTATGTCTTGGGCTACTCAAATATTTTACATTTTTGATACTAAATTAGCTTCTGAAGTATAATTTTTTCTTGTTTTTATATTTTTCAATATATTTATTTTGTTTGTACAAAATAAAAAAATAATTTTTAACGATACAATAGTCTTCATTAGGCTTAAAATCGACGAAAATTCAATGCAAAGCAACACGCAATGGAGAAAAATTTCAACATGGAATAGGTTAATATATTTTTTCGTACATAATCGGTTATCTGAAATATTGATTTTCCGAACAACCCAGTCCCCAATTGACTTGGATAATCGACGCTCTACTGTAATTATTAAATTTTGAAAGAAAAACTCATAAGTGAATACTTACCCAATTACAAAAAAATACAGTAGAGCGTCGTTTATTCGAATCAATTGGGGACTGGGGTTGTTCAGATAACTTATTTTTCAGATAACTGATTATGTACGAAAAAATATATTAACCTATCCCGTGTTGAAATTTTTCTCCGTTGCATGTCACTTTGCGTTGAATTTTTGTCGATGTTAAGTTTAATGTAAACTTTTTTAAATAATAATTGTGGCTATTATATCGTTAAAAGTTATTTCTTTATTTTTTACAAACAATATATATATATTGAAAAAAAAAAAAAAAAATTATACTTTAAAAGTTGATCTAGTATCAAAAACGTTTGATTCAGCACGACACACAGTCCTCAGAAAAACACCACACAAAAGTGTCAGTGCTGCCAGCTAAAACACACACATCAACAAAAAAAATATTGTATTGATAGTTTCCAGTTGTTCTGGAACCTCACAAATTTTAGTTGCTCTTAGGTGTGTGCGAGGTAAACATTGCTTTTTTGAATGTGCTAAACTTCGTTTTTTAGTTTTGTGATTTATACTGTATATTTAATCAATATGGCACCGAAGAAAGAGAAAAGTGACAGTGGAAATAGAAAACGTTTTAGTGTAGCATTAAAGAAAAAAATTATTGCAAAATACAAGAATGGCATTTGTGTTTCTGACATCGCTAAAGAATATAATGTGACAAAATTAACTATCTCTACAATTATTAAAAACAAAAAAGAAATAAATTTGTTTTCAATATCTTGTGGACATGTTTATATTGTTGTGCATTAATGCCTTAAGAATCTTTTTTTCTGTATTAGAAATTGTCTAATATAGAAAATAAGTTAAGCAATGAGAATGGTTTTCTACTTATAAAATTAACTTAGATATATAATTATAATTCTAAAAAAAATAAAGGCTTAAAAATTCAGAAAATATTTTTCAAGTAAAAAAGAAAAAACACACTGTCAACACTGACTTCGAGAATTAATGATATACAATTAAAAAAGAATTTATTATACTTTTTTCTTTTATCTAAATGTATTTCACCACTATTATTGGGTTTCATCAGTGAATAATGATACTAAGTTTACATCAGTGTTTTTATAGTTGACTAAGCTATCCCAACATGCATCAACCAACATTCCTGTATTCATATTTATTTCATTTACACATTTCTTGATGCTATAATGTTCTTTTATATGACATTTAACAATATTGCTTTTTTTATATAAAATTTTAATATTAAAAGTACAGTATGAAATGTTAATATTAATTTTAGTTAAACGAGGGTGTTTTCTTTTACAAACTATTGTTATCTTCTTAGCATTTTTGTTGATCTTATTCAGAAATATCAGAAATATATGATTTTGTCATTCATAAAAAAATGAATTTGTCAATTTTTTTATGAATGACAAAATCAAAATATATTGTTAATAAATATTTGTTTTACTAATCTAAAATTTGTTGCTTTTGTTCAGTCGAGTACCAAGAGATGTTTTTTCTGGAATTTGTCTTTGAATATTGAATTGTTTGAGTTGGGAACTAGTATTATTGGGCAGTATCTCAGTATTTGAACTGCCATATATCATTTCTTATTTTATGAATTATTGCTTACTTATGGTTAAAAAAAGTTTAATAACACTTACCTAAAAATGTTTAATCTTTGTATTTAATAAAATTTATTTAATCTATTAAAAGAAAACCTAGTGACAGTTTTAAGAGCTAAAGTCTGAAAGCAACAACAATGACACCTGGTTGATGGGAAAGTTAGTGCAATTGTTTTCTTCTTTGTCCTGTTAGTTTTCATTAAAGCAAACCTGATGAAAAGCACAAAATAACTTGAAAATTTCCATGTTCTAAAATCCATGGGCAAATTTGAGACAATGCATGTACTTGCTTGAATTTAAAAAAAAATATCAAATAACGATGTTTATACTTAAAAATTGTGAAATTTTGTATTGAGGATTTCCAAAATTGTGTTAGAGTGAAACTGGAAGTCGTGTTGTACAGGGGATATCCCCAATTTTCAAATTGTGTTGGAGCAAAACTGTGTTGTAGAAGTACTGCATTGTACAGGGATACAGTGCCTACATAAAAATTTTGTGTCAATAATAAATGGAATTTGAAATTAATTTCTTAGCATTTTTTTTGCTTTAATAATTTCTTAAGAGTTGAATGCTTTTTAAAAATAAAGTGATTGTTTTGTATTCATTTTTGATAGTATTTTAAGAATAATGCTAAAAATTAATTCTAACTTTTTGTTGGTTATTAAATTAGTTTTTCTTTTATATATTTTTTGTTTTATGCAAGATAGATAAATTCTGTATACATTTTTGTGAAAATGATAACAAAATTACTTGTTCGCAAGTCATGAAATATGCTGTACCCAAAAAGAAAGAATTGCTGTGATTTGGGAATGTTTCAGTGTTCAGTGGAACTCTCAGCAAATTTCACACAGAAATTCAGGAAGCTTGCTCCCAGAAGGGCCAATTTCAACAATCTCAGAGACACTATGAAATGGTGTAAGGTGTAGAGACTGCAATAACACTTTTTTTTATCGTCGACCAGGAGGCTAAGTTAGGAGCTTGGTGTGTTATGAGCAACAGTGTGAAAGATCCACCATTACAAACTCATTAAGCATGCATACCATGTCTAGGTGTTGCATAAACTTGAAGAGGGAGAGACTGTGCTGCTCACCAATGTGTTATCTCTTGGAGTCTGGAAGATTTGATGGTTCTGTGTACATCAATTTACTCAAATATGCACAAACCATAGCAATCTCTCTTCTTGGGTCCAGCATTTTTCATATGACCTACAAACAAAATTGTATTGATGTAGGTCAATAGTCCCTATACAAAAATATATAGGGACTGTATACACTAATCATCTTGTACATAATAATTCTAATTAACATTTTATTTATATTATAAATTTAATTTTATAGAATTTGAACATTCATCATCCAAAAACAACAGCACTTGGACTGTTAGGAGAAAAAATTGTTATATTAGCAGCAGGTGGTACTAGAGCTACAGTTGCTACAGAGAGTGGAAAAGTTGCAACTTGGATAGATGAGACATTAGCAGCAGTTTCTTCAAAATTAGAACATCCAGTCCAAACATTTCCAGAATTTCAGCAGGATAAGATTGTAAATCTTTATGTTTGTTCTCTGTATACATGTGCTCGTTTAGAATCAGGTGCTATTTATTGGTGGTAAGTTTACATCGAAGAATAATAAATTTCTATATAAATAATAAATGAATGTTGTTGATAAGATTTTTTCCTTTTTATTAATGAAATAATATAAATATTGATTTTCTACTGTGATATGTTCATTTATCAACAGTAATTTTTTTGATACCAGTTAATATATTTTATATAATTAAATTATTAAAAGTTTTAGGTTAGAATTTTTTATTTTGTTTTCTATATACTAATATTCAAATCATAGTAAGTGGATAAAAAAAATATTTTAATCAAAAATTAAATAGATGCTTGCTTTAGAAGCTAAAAATTTAAATATAAAATGTTTTTTGGTCAATATTTTAATCATTCTCAGCTTAATAATCATTCCCTTGTAGTGTGGAACAAGAAATTTAAAATAAAAAATAATAATTGTAAAACTAATTACCTTATCCAAACATATATATTTTTAAGAAGCCAGAAAATAAAAGAAAGCTTAATTTTCTGAGAATTTTCATTATTTTGTTGTCAGATTGTTAAAGTTTATTTTATCACTTGTAAATTAGTGTTTAAATAAAGTGATTAGTTAAACATATAGAGCCATCACATTCATAGATTGAATAACTAAAAATGTTGCTATTAGAATTTCTTGTTTTGCATTGTTCAATATACAGGGGGTGATCAGTTAATGAACAGTTTGAACTGCAAACAAATCGGACAATGAACACTTTTGCAAAAGATTTTATGTTTAGACAACAAACATGTGTTTGGATAACAAACACCTCACAGAACAAACAAGAAGAAGTGACGTAAAATAATGAATACCAGTTGGTCTTCTCTTGTCTCCAGGTAACAAATTGAAACCTTTGGAGCATGGGAGATGCCAACATTGATGCTCAACCTGGTATATGCTGATTGGATAGTATTCCTCTGAACTTTGAAACTCTCCCTTGTAATTTCAGTCTTTTGTTTATTTTTCTAACAGAAAGCATTCTTTTATAGTCTTTGTGAGACAGTCGGACTGGCACTCATTAAGTTTTGCATCAGTTTTTATTTTTGAAAGGTGAGAGTATAATAGCCATAGTAGAGAGTGAGCAGATGTCTGTTGCTGGACAGTATGGCTTGAACAGTTCTACAGTAGGCACAATCTTCTGTAAGAAAGATATAATCAAGAAGAGTCAAGCAGCTAAAGGAGTAATGAAAATTATTAATACATCTGAGAAACAAAGAACATTGAAAAGCTCATAATGGAAACTGATCTGACAACAGAAGACCTCCAAAAACTCTGTAATGAAGAATATCAAGAAATTCAGTGATATATGTTTTCTTCTGAAAAAGAGGACCAATGCCGACATCTGCTATTAAAGAATTTTTGAAGAAGTGGGAGGATGTCAGAACAATGTCATCCAAATGGCATCCAAGCCAGAATGAGGTTAATAGGCTTAGGGATCTCTGCAATTACAATGCTATTAATTAATTCTGAAAAATCCTGAAGAAGAGAGAAAAGTGATCAACATTAGACAGATTCTTTAACCGCCACAAATGGAAAAAACATGACTGATAAAAATGCAAGACTGTGTATATGTGTATTATTATTATTACATATAAATAAACATAGTAAGAAAGTACATAATTTTTTATTTATTTTTTGGGTCTCTAGAATGAATTAATCAAATTCCCATCAAAATCTATAGTAAATCGATAATCAGTTAACAAACAGTTCAGGTAGCGAACACTGTCTTGGAATGGATTATGTTCGTTAACTGATCACCCACTGTATTTGTAAGATGATGGAGATAAGAATAATGGCTGGAAATGTTTAACAAATTTATTTTTTGATTTCAACATGATGGGAAATTCTGTTTATTTTCACAAATGACCCTTATAAATAAATCTGATTTATGACAAAATAAATTGAAAGAAAAATACTCTAAATAATTTATTTCTTTAGTTGTTAATTCTTAAGCTGGTACTATTTTCTAAATACTATAATTCACCTCTTCTTCTCACTTTCCAGCAATTCACCAATTTAAAATGAACTTTTTTGGATTCTTTCTGTGGCCTATGTCAGGTTAAGCAGAATTTAATATCAAATGTTTGGAGCAGGTTTTATAAGGTTTCATATTTCATAAGCAATTGTTGAAGAACTAAAGGTTACAAATTTTAAATTGTATTTGCCTTTTGGTTTTAAAATTAATACAAGACTTTAAAAACAGTTTAATGCTTCTCTTGTCATAAAATGTTTTCAAGAATGAATAGAACTAAAATGTAATGTTTTGATATTACGATGAAAATATGAGTCTTTAAAATGAATATTTAACAAATTGTACAGAGGTTTTGATATAATTTCTTGAAGAGTAAAGAATTTATGAAGAAAATAGTATTCAAATCAGAAATTTTAAATAATCTTTTGATAATCTGTATAAACATTTAAATTTTTTTTAATATATAGTGAAGCAACAAAATTCCAAAACAATTGGAGTGGGTCCCCATCTGGATTTTTGAATATATATGTAAATTAGTATTTTAAGTACTGTAAACTCCAAATACACTGTAATTCATGTTTAGGTGTTCTAAGTTCAACTTAGTATTTCACAAAGGAATGTAGGAATGCTTACAAAGATTCAAAATATATTTAAAAATTTTTTAAAGCTTTAAACAATTATAAAAACCTGGACAGGGAAGAACCTAAAGGAAGGTTGACTCCACCAGTGCTGATTGTGTTTCAGTGATTGTAAAGGATTTTTAGAAAACTTCAGAACTTTTAATTTTTGGTATAAGTCTTCAATGCTGTTTGTTTTTACATTTTTTAAAATTCAAAATATAATTTACTGAATTACTATATTTAAACAAAAAATATGCTGATCATATCTCAAAATTAAAAAAAATATGAATTCTGAGTGAACGTTAGAACATTAGTAACACAAAGTCAAAAGAACATCAAAAAGAAAGTTACTATTGAAAAGGTATTAGCTAATTATATCCAGTTTTTGATGGCTGAATACAGACTTTCAAATATTCAGGTTTTTGACACTTTATCATATATCTTACATTTATAAACAATACAGAATATCTCTTTTTTATATGTTTTGTTGTTTTATAAATATGTACAATATTAAATAACATGTTTTTTACATTGTGTTACAAAATTTAAAATTCTTTCAAAGAAACATGAATAGAATAGTATTCATTTTTATTCAAGAAATTTTTTTATTTTTTGCAAAACACAGGAAAAGTCCTGAAAAACAAATGATATTCACCACAAAAAATAAAAATAATTAACTAGTATACATCAAAAATAAACTAAAAATATTTTAAAAAATTAGAATACTTAAAAGTTAAAAATTGTACACACATTAGTTACAATTACAAATTATAGAGTGCTCTTTACATTTTAACATACCCTGCTTGAGAAATCTCTCTTGCATCGCTTGCAGTAGTTGTGGTTTTGAGTACTATTATTCAAGATTACTGACTTTTAGTGGGGAGTCAGTTTATCTCACATCAGGATGAACCTAAAGGATGTTTGTATGTGGGTCATTGTGGAGGAGACAAATGATGACAAGTGTCTTACAAAGTTAAAAAGCCATTTATTTTGTCAAATTCATGCTTACATTGATAGTAGACAGTGTCCAAATCTCGGTGTTCCTTCGAAGTGATGAGAGTTTCAGTTTATCAGTCATAGCCCCAGGGTGGACAAGAAGGGTTTGCTGGACAGATGCAGATGATCGACAAAGATGCGGCAGTGTTCTAGGTGGTCGATGGCAACACAACACAACTTAATGAGCATGACTTTGGCTTAATCCATAGGAAGACAGTTCTTCGACCTTGAATTACTGATTTTTATAGTTTTTCTCTCACTATCTGTATTTCTGATTTGCCCCACGTTCCATTTTTCACTTCCCAATTGGTTTCTCCTTTGTTTTCAGGTGAAAACAGAGACCTGATCAGGTCACAAGAAAGGTCCAATTCTAGGCATCTATTTGACATCTTTTCATCGACTATACTCAGAGATTGTTGATAGAACCATAAGCCTTGCACTAATAATTTAGCCTGTTTGTGATTTCTGTCATTTTGGAACCTTAACAATCATATGCGATGTTTTTCTATCCATCAAATCTTTTCTCTTTTCCGAAATTCTTTTCCTAGATCGAATGTTTATGAGCATTTGAGAGTTCTACCTTTTCCGACCAACATTCCATCTGATCTGTTACGTCATTTGTTTTCATGTCGCATTTGTTTAACAGTTAAAGTTTTTTCCTCTCCTCTTCCTTACATAATAAACATCACCTTTGATCTGACTCGATAATAGCATTTTTGCTCCTAATTAATTTGAAATTAAATTTTTGTTTCGACCCTTTCCAGAACCTCACATGTTTTCTTTTAGATTTCTGTAAATTGATAAAGAAATTTAATAATTAAAAATTAATGATTATTCATTTTTAAATATGAAATTTATTTATTTATTTATAATGCAAGATGGTGCTTAGGACTTTTTATGCCAAATATATTGTCACATAAAAATAGGGAACATTTATCAATTCAATAATATATTTTATCCATTAAAATAAAAGTATACCTAGAAGAAGAAACTTTTCATATATAAACATACAGTATTTCTAACAATAATGAACTTCTTACATCCAGAAATTTTGTAATTTTATGGATTAAGAATTGAACAGTTTAAACATTGTGTTAAATAAATGAATTGTGTCAAAATATACAACTATTTCTTATTTAAAAGTTTTATGAACAATTTAATTAGAAAAAGTTGATAGAATAAGAAACAAATAAATAATAATTATTTATTGCAATATAACAAAAATGAAAAAGCATATTTTATATCTATTTCAATGTTTGTTGCTTATAAAGTATTTTATAAAAGTTTTGAAAACTGAATTACTTTTTATTAATTTTTCATTTTATAAACTATCATTTATAAAGTTTTGAAATTTAATGTATTTTAGTACTTTCTAAGTGAATATTGAAATAATAGCTACGTATTCAAAAATATGATCTGATATGCAATAATTGTTATGTATTTCAGGGGAATTGCTCCATTTAATCAACGGAAAAAATTGTGTGAGAAAACACGAGCACGTGCAAAAAAGCATAAGTCTTCCAGTTACTCTTGTGATATAACTACAGGTGTACAGGTAAAGTTATAGTTTTTAACACATTTGATAAGGATATAAAATATTAAAATATAAACATCTACAAATGTGATTTTTAGATGGAAACCAAAATATTTGCTGGATTACATTAGTGATGATTTGGTGATGTAATCCAGTAATTTTTGGCTTTAAATTACTTTTAATTGCAATTTAATTAGTAGTTACTAGTATTAATATAATCCAATGTAATCCTGCAATCATTTAACTTTAACATACAATATTTTTATTTATTAATAAAGTCTAAATTAATGGCATCAATATAATTTTATCTATTTTTACCATTGATTTTAACTTAAAAATTAAGTTTTTTCTTTATTGAAATAAATTTTTCTATTTTATGCTGAATTTTTTTTAAGTATTTGTTATAACTACGTTATAAAAAGTTTCTTAATTAAAGTATATTTATAGAATATTTATTTTTTACAATTATATGAATTTATATAATTACAGTTGAACTCAGTTATAATGAGCATTAGGGAACTGATAAGATTTCTTCGTTATAACCATTACGTGTTACATCCATGAAATTATGGGAAGAATGAGAGGTTGCCTCAGGCACAAACATGTAGGGGGTGTCCCATGGGTAGTAAAATTTGTAGCTACACCACCAATAATTAGTGAAATTAGTTAATTAGTTAATTTTAAATAACTTAACAACAAAAAAATGTAATTACATTACTAACATAAAAGCCATCGTCTCTGTTTGTGTGTGAATATCTTATAATGCCTGCAGTTTTTATCCAATCCAGACAAAATTTTGGATTTTGTTTTATGTTCTGACAGAAGGTATAGGCTACTTATTTTGCAGAAATATTAGTTGTAGAATAAACATTTTATCAATTTTAGATCAGTGATCGCATTTACATTGCAGTGACGTTTGTGACCACATGACATTCATGCTCAATGAGGGTATTTTGCTTAAGTTGCATTTTTACATACTTTGACAAATGGCATATATTAAACTTACTTCATTAAATATAAAATTTAAACTTTAAAAAGTGTTAGCCCTATCGTGTCACTTTTATAACAAATAAAAAAAAATTCTTTTCATAGTGACTATGTGACATTCTATTATCCTTTTGGAAGTAACAATCTAACAAGCCTATTATTTAGAAAGTGTTATCTCTCATTCACTTAACTTACATACAATTCATCTTTGTTTTATCAACACAAAATTAAAAAGATTTGCTATTTTGTTGGTGGGGAATGCCTAGGGAAAAGTGTAAAAGCAAAATTGATCAGGTAAATTCTAATTCTAAAAGAATAAGAACAATTGAGACCCCCTGAAGGCTGTGAAGTCTGACTTGAACATCATCGAATAAGAATGGCTTTGTCAAGAGCTGCAGAAACAGCATCATATCATCAAGCTTAATTTGAAGCTCTTTTCAATTTTTCAATCTCTACTTTTTCAAAAAAAAATATTTTGTCATGCTTGATGGGAGAATTTCTAGTTATGAGAAGAAAAAGTATCTGCATTTAGAAGCAGAATCTCAGGCAACTGAGAAGAGAAAATTTGAAAAGAAGTTTAAGGAGCTGCAAAAAAAAGAAGGATGTTATGAGAAAGGAAGCAGAACAAAAAGAGGGAAAAAAATAAACTGAAGATCCTCCCATCACAAAAAAAAAAAAAAAAAGATATATGTTACTAAAATAGTTCATTATAAAAATGTCATGTGTAATGTTTCCTTCAGATTAAAACTTACTCCATTGTATTCATTTCATGGTTTACTTATTTTCTCAGTAAACACTAACAAACCCTTGTGTAGCTTACGACTAATGGAAATTCTTAAAATGTCTTATCTATACTTTTTAACATATTACTCTGCTCTGAGGTATAAGCATTTGTAAATGATTTTTGTGCTTTTGTAGCTACATAATGTAAAGGGAAATGTAGAGACCATATATAATAGGTGAAGAAAAAATGTCACAATTGGTCAGGGAATCAGAGGGATTTACCTGTATGGGCCTTGTAGTAATTTAATTTAAAAAATATTGAGATATATTCAATATACAGAAGTAATTACAAAATTTACTATATTTGTTCAATGTTAAATTTTTTTTAGTTTTATTTACTATTAAATCAGTCAGTTTTATTAATTAAACGGAAACAGTAATTAGTGGTAATTCCAATTGCTTGTTTGTTTGAATTTATTAATCTCCCTTTTGTGAAAATGTTGTTGTTTGTACTAAGAAATTCTTAACATGATGACGATAGTTATATATTTGTGACTGTTTTTACTGAAAGGTTTTTTTCTGCTAACTTATAATTGATTTATATTGAACTAAAAATATAAAAGGTTTGAAATATTTTCTTAAAAATGTAAACATAATCTGAGTTTTGAATAAATAAGACAGATAATACACAGAAATATTGCTATTTATCATTGTTATTTTTGCAAGAGTTAGGGAAGATTTTTGCTATTGTTACTCTCTAATTTTATGTGATTAAGTAAAGTTGAATATTTCATCCAGCATAGTTTTTTATTGTTAAATATTATTACTATTTATTTTTAGGTATGTATGAGAAATAGTCCGATATATCATCCTGGTGCCCTAGCCTTTACTACTGCAGGAAGTGTTCCCAGAGTTGGACAGCTTTTATCAGCCGCTTGGAACTTAACAGATTGTTGTCATTTTCGAATATTGCCTCCATTAACAAAGTAAGATGCAATACATTCTTCATTTTTATTAAATGTATTATGTATTAAATTTATTTATATACTTATATTATTTAATAATAGTGTTGTTGCATAATTTTTATGCAATATTAATACAGTTCCTTGTATGAGGCTGTTTTGAAAAGTTTTGTTTCCTATATGATAACTTATGTAATAAACAAGATACTGAAGTGAAAATTTATTTCTGCTTAGAATTTGGAGTTTAGAATCATTACTCTTCCACATAGTCATCATCTGTGTCTGCACACAACAGCTAATGAAGTTTATTTGATTAGCATAATTTTTTTGCAGCTTTTATTTTGTTTGTATTTTATTCAGATTATAATGATAACATTTGAAATTTTTTCACTCATTAAACTCAATGTTAAATGTAAATTCAAAAAGTTATATCTGAATGGATATTGATTTTTAATAGAAATGAATACATTATTACTATAATTAAATTAAATAGCAATAAATATAAATGAAATTAGGATAGGAATTAATACAGAAGTAAGTATTTTCTGTAATGAGTGTAGATTATAACAGATCTAATTTAAAATATGTAGAGAGTATCATAAACTTGATTAAATTTTCAAAACTTCTACAAATTGTGGCAGCACATCCAGTTTCTTGAAATTATTAGTAATAAAGAAATTTTAAAATACACATAGCACTTAAAATTTAAAAATTTTAACTCTCATTTACTTAAAAGAAACTTTAATAGAAAGTTAAAAGTTTTTAAAATTTTTTATTATAATTATTTATATAAGAATTAGTTATTTATGTGAAAATAATTTTAAACTGTAGGCATAATTTGTTCGAGAAATAATTTTAAACTGAATTTGTAATTGGTTTGTAAAAGCTTGTTTGATTTTAATTTGTCTATTTTGTTCTGCATTGTATATATCTGAAGATGTCTGCTATAAATAGATGAAAACATTAGTAAAAATGTGTTAATTTGAGGTATGCTAGTGTAGGTGTTTTGTCTGTGTTTAAATTAAGAATTTCATAATAAATAACTACTACTTTCTTAATGCCTTTTTCCCCATTAATTTTTTACTCATTCTTTTAGAAATGCTTAATTAGTGCGTATCATTCATTATTATTAAAAAGCAGTACCAAAATATTTGCATTGAATTTTGGTCTGATACTGCAAACTTTGTTTTTAAGATCTCATGCTTACAGTTGACATTTTAGTATGGTCTGGCATTATTGTGCAGCAAGATTATATTTTGGCACAATAGTCCAAGTGTTTTCTGATGAATTGATTATCAGAAAAGATCTGTACTGCTACATCAAGAGGATGATTCAAAAATTGGCAACTTTGTGCCGTTAACATACATTAGTATGTTAACAGTACAAAGTTGCCAATTTACTTACTATGTTATGCATAAGCTTACTATGTTATAAATAGTAAGCTTATTGAATGATCCAGGAATGCTTTCCAGATGTTGCAATTTTGCCTTTTCTTTTTTGTAATTTTTAGTCTGTAGAAATATGTAGGAATTAAAAACAGAGATTTTATTTGCATAATTGTTACCTAAAGCTTTTGTTCTGTGATTGCTTTTTGTATGAAGATGATGATGGTGATGATTTTCAGATCTGTCATGATTATATTTGAACAGTAATCAGTTTAATATGAATGTGTTTTCTTTATAATCGTATTTAAAAATTTTTTTGTTTTACTCTGCTATCCCATTCTAATAGAAAATGAAATATATTTATTTATTCTTAATATATTAATGAATGCATTTAGTTTGTAATTTAAACAAAATATTTTAAAAAACTATTATAGCTATCTTTTGTAGTAATTGCAATTGATTTTTATTCNCCCCCTATAACGCTTAGATACGTTCCACGCTAACCGAAAATTACGTTGTAGGAATGATTAAATACAGTCACATTTTTATGTATTAATCAATCATTAATCATTATAAGTATATTTAGTGTTGTTTGTTTTTTGAAAATATTTAAACTTATTGGATTTTGTATAAAAAAACTAAGAATAAGAATTATGTATAATTTTTAAAAAAACAAATTTCAGTTAATGATTTTTTACTAGTTTACATAAATTTCAATTGGTGTAATGGTGATAGTATTTTTGATTATCGTACTCTGAATTTATTTATTTTTTTAAGCTTGAAATTTGATTGTCTGAACTTAATTTGAAAGATAGAAAGTTGTAAAATATTAAAATACTACTAATAAAACTGTAATAAAATGATCTTTTATTTTAGTGAGAAAAGGTCAGAGCAGAGAGANTACTCTGAATTTATTTATTTTTTTAAGCTTGAAATTTGATTGTCTGAACTTAATTTGAAAGATAGAAAGTTGTAAAATATTAAAATACTACTAATAAAACTGTAATAAAATGATCTTTTATTTTAGTGAGAAAAGGTCAGAGCAGAGAGAGGTAAAAGAAAATCCAAAACAAACTAGTGAATACAAAGTTGATCGTCAAGAAATGCCACCACCACCATCTCCTGCTTCTTCTACTTGCAGTGAACCAGCTTCAAGTCCTTTACCTCATAGTATGTTTTATTTTTTCTTACTACTATTATCCTGAATAGATTCTTATAAGTCTTTTATTTTATGATGAAATAATATACAGTTGTAACTGGAGGGTCAGTACGTCTTTGATGCCTTGTCAGGACTCACACCACCATGTCTCAGTTGACACGGGAACCGCGACAGCACGTTTAGTTTGGGTTAAAATCTAGGTCATGCAAGCAGCTGTGTGAGTAAGCGATCGGATTCCGGATTCCGGATGCAAACTGAGAGACAGCCCAACAGAAGTAAAGTACTCAGATACTAAAGTTAACAATTAACATACTGTTTAATTTCAATGAAAACAAATACATGATACAATATACAATATAAATCGTATTATATCAAATTAGCCTATCTATCTAGCGGTTGTGCACAAGAGCGTTTACAATTGTTTGCGAGTTGGGAAATACCTGCATTGATGGTGATGATTCTTGATTTTGGTTTTGTGAGGACTCAGAGGTCTAGACATTTGGATCGTTCGGGACAAGTCTGGATGAAGAAAGTTCTGGATCGATCCAGGAAAGTTCTTCTACGCACAGTTGAGGGTAATGTGAAAATCCGATAGAGTACAATTGGCACTGACACAGGAAAATTTCAATGACTTTAATCCTAGAGGGATTGGCAATGACTCCTTGACTGCCCATTTAGTAGAGCATCGTTTATCCGAAAGCTGATCAACTGAAACATCGGTTTGCTACCCACCAATTTTTAATTTTAATGTAATTAAACATAAAAAATACTTAACTGAAAAAAAAACGAAAGAAATGCATTAATTTTGAAGAGAAAGCTTCAAAGTTTAACTTCCATTGTCTCGCCTTTCCGCAAAATCTGACGCCAATGAGTAATTGTGTTTACAGCTGGATGACCTTGAGAACAGCTGGTATTGTCTTTCGCGAAACATTCTCATAAAACCTACAGGAGGCAAAGAATTTATAGTAGGGTAAATACTAGCTGGCCATATATTTTTAAATATTTTAAAAAAATTGTGTTTTTTATTGCAATTTCTGACCCCCCTGACTTAATTAAACATATATATAATAAAATATATTAATTAAAAAAATT